ATAGAAATGTTTTTCATAATATTTTAGCTAACCTTTCAAGCCAAGTAAGCTTCAAAATGTATTACAAAAAAGGCTTTACAAGTAGTTCACGGTAGTAGTACACGAATGGTGGAACCGATTTCACGACTTAGGAGTTCGCGATCCGTACTCGTTAAGAGTCCATCAATTATTGTGATATGTTAATACACGCACAGAAATGATGATAGAAAAAAAGAAAAGGAAAGTAAAAAGAAATAAAACTTTATTTAGGTTACCGTTGCACCGTTACGGCCTGTTAAAGTTCACTGTACACATAGACCTCCCCCATAGATTGTCTTACAGGATAGTTACCATATTTGCCATAGTTGGCGACCGCAGTTTTTTATTTTTAGTCGTTATTACGGAGACGCTGCCCCAAGTCTCCTTATTTGTTTTCCTCTGTCGCCTCTTACGACACCCACGCGAGATCCAATATCATCCCGTGGATGCCTAGTGGATATTCTTACACAGCCACTACACGGTAAGTAAGTTCATTAAGATATTACAAGTAAGTTTACTTTTATATGGGATACGGGTGACAAACGAGCACACAGTCCATCTGGTGGTAAGTGGGTGCTGTGGCCTATAGATAGACATTTACATTTAACCTCGATTAAGAATCAAAATTGTTGTCACCCTTGAGGACTAAGATGGAATGCCTCGATTCCAGTAAAACGGGTCTCCAGTTCTCTACACTCACAATACGAAACACAGCAGTATTAAGCTGTTACTTTACGATGATATTCTGTGAGAACGTGGTCCTTCCCCGGTCGAGCTCACCCATTCATGCTACAACCATAATAGCAGCTATTATGGTTGGCGTGGCTCTACCACGTAAAAAAAGTTATTGGGTAAAGTAAGTTTATTTAGGTATTACATTGAAGTAAAGCAAAGTTACTGCCTAATACATCTCAAAGCTGGGTCTCACTTATTATTGAACGATTATTGGCAGACTTAACGTATCCTAGAAATATTTAATTCTTTAAGCATGCAGGTTTCCTCACGATGTTATCCTTTATACGAGCACGTGGTAAATCGGCAACTAAAATTGCAATTAACAATTAGATGAACCGTATAGTGGCGGTGTAAGAATATCCAGTAGATTGTCAGCTGCATCTCCGTAATGACCAAAATTAAAAAAAAAAACTGTGCTCTCCAAGCGTGGCAACTATGGCAAATATCCCCCTATGACGCAATCTGTGGAGGAGGTTCATGTTCAGAAGTGGATTTTAACAGACTATAACGGTAACGGTAATAATTTTACTTATCCAGACGGACTCGTACGAAAAAGGAATAATATCCAATAATATCCAAATATATATATATATATATATATATATATATATATATATATATATATATATATATATATATATATATATATATATATATATATATATATATATAAATATTTTTCTAGTGTAGGGACGGTCGCTACTATAGATGGAGTGACGACCTAGTAATACATGCAGAAAGTCAATGGATGCAGGTTGCTCAGGACCGCGGCATTCCGTAGGTGAGACCTATGTTCAGTAATGGATGTGACATGTGAAAGTCTGTATCGATGATGATGATGATTATAATGTTTCTTTTAATTGAAGTGACAAACGATGTTACTGTTCACCTGACGGTAAGTGGCTGTTGCAGTCCGTGGACATTTGCAACCGATTTCAAACTAAGAAAAGATTAGGTATAAAGTTGTTAATTATGTTGCCGCCGCCAACCGTTCATCGGAACACAGCTAAGCACGCACTGCTGCTTGATGATGAAAAATAGGTTCTTACCCATTTTCGTCACCAAGCAGCAACTCTCTTGGATAGTTCTCAGATGACACAGAAAAAGAGTACCACCATCTAGTAAGTCTTCTGAGTATTAGGGCATTTGTTTTTCGGATATATGATTGTATGTATGTATTTTTTTATATGTATGTCCATTCCCTTGTGACCTGCACGGGCTTCATCATAATCCTAATACGAAGCTCGTAAGACTTTGATGTGGTTTAAGGATTTTTGCTACTATCACACTATGTCACAAATAATAATATATTGTAATAGTAGCAATAAACAATGACCTGTCCAAAACCTTTATTAAACTAAGTTTGTATAAAAAGGGTTATTTAAGTAATAAGGAATTTATGGATGATAATAAACCCTGGGAATGAGATGATCGCTACCAAGTTATTTCTAATTTGTTTTGTGCTTATTAATTATGTAACACACATGATTGTAAGCTGTTATTGAAAAAAAAAGTCCCGCTGAGTTTCTTGCTGGTTCTTCCCAGGACAGAGGTCTTTTCCGAATCAGCGATAATTAAGCAAAAGAGTGACTTTCAATAAGCATTATTTATAATTTTATATTGATTAAAAAGCGGTTCTGTTTCTATCATTGAGTTTAGGCTACAATATAATAATGAAGAGAGTGAGAAGGAAATAACAAAAATGATTACACCATATTGCCCACAAAACTACTGTTTGCTACTTAAGGGGATATAGTAAGTCAGCTCAAATTCTAATTTCGTCCCCACTTGCCCGCGCGTCGTATGCTATGTATCGACATGTTTGTAATCACTAATACTGTAAGTAGAAAGGTCCTTAGACACTTATTTCATTAGGTTTATCATATTTATGCCTGTTTCTTAACGCCAAGCCAGTCGCTTCTTATTTTTATTACGGTTATTTCCCATTTTAATTTTACGTCGTCCTGTTGCGTAATGTATTCAGATCGTAAGCGACACAACGGTCCCCGAAAGCTTCAAAGGCCGAAGCGAAGTGGCCGTGCGGCAGGAATCACGCTTCAAGAGGCCGATAGTTTAGGTAATTTCTTTTTACAGTGAAAATAATGGTATTTAAAAAAAAAGTAAATAACGTAAGCACTGCTTTATAGTTAGTTCAGTTAGTATGCAAAGTTTCATGTTCTTATTTAAAGTATTTTATGAATAACAGCGGTTTATTATTTATTTTGAAGGTAACTTTGGAATTTTTTTTTTCTATCGAGAAAATTTTACGAAATAGTGTTTTCGTCTAACATAATCCTTAACATTAATCCTCAACTTTACCATATATTTATTTCAAAATTAATGCTGCAATATTTTCGGCATAACGAAGGATCTTGCTAAGCCATTTGAGATTATATTTCCCCTTAAATATATATTTTTAATGAAAAAAAGCTAATGCACTTTATAGAAAAAAAAACTTGTGTAAAAACTTGTGCTATCGTTATAAATAAATGTTATGATTTGTTACTAAATAAACCTATTTTCTTTCGTTCTATGTGCTGCTCATGAGATTAAAATGAGGCACCGAGTAATTATGCGCTGCGGTTTTATCACTGGAGCATAACGCTGAATTGGATGCCTATTTGTTGATGCAATGCACTGTTAAAGTGTACTTAATGTACCACGTACTATACTTTTAAAGTGTAACGATATAAGTATAATTAGCTTATGACTCGCATCTTTCATTCCTTCGAAACTTAATGTGATGCTTGTTTAAAACGCAATCAAACAACGTAGCGTTTTGTTAGTTAAAAATAGACAATGGCAGTCGGGTCATTTTGCTCCTTTTAAAAATAATTATTTACTACGGTATCTATCGTACCGTATTATTTACTACGTTACAAACTGTACAGACAGTAGTACAATACTTTTATATAGAAGATTAAATTTGAAATGTGTACATAAATAGCTATAATCAAATTGTGAACTAAGACTAACTCGGTAAGAGTTAGTAAGCTTCTCAGTGCTGTACAAAGTGTGATCGAAGTAAATCTACTAAGTATAGTACATATTTATTAAGGAGCTGGTATTTTATGATATTATTTAAGGTTGTTGGCCATTTTATTACTTGATTTATTTAAAAAGTAATCTTCAGTGTGTATCAAATATGTCGAAGGAATAATAAACATTTTTTTCGTTTTAAATTTACATCCCTGATCTTCCACTCATTACTACATTTACGGGTATTAGGTAGAGACAGAATTAAAAGAGTAAATTTTAATCATTTAACTTTTATTTAGATTCGGAGATCAAATGAAAGTCTTCAAAGTTCTTATCGATATCAGTCTACAAAGTCTTAAAATATTAAAGTCTAACAATAAATCTAATTATTGAAAAGCATGGAGGAATACAAGGCTTAGTATGCATAAGAAAATTAAACTACAACACTATCTTAATAGCTAAATGACATGCAATGATAATTAAAACTAAAAACTAATTAAAAAAATTATGGCACACTCGGCCTATTTCTGCTTAACACTATTAAATAAGAAAACTTTAGGAAAAAGTAAAAATTTAAGTGAACTTTAGAATTAAAGCTAAACTTACACACTATTAAAGCTTCTTGTCAGATATGTATTTATTTATAATTAAGTTATACTAAGGCTCACTGATGATGTTTGAAAACGCCCGCAGCGAGAATACAATAAACTTTATAATCTCTTACAACTAATTAAAGCTTCGATTTACGTGTATTTTAAAAATCACAGACAATAACAACTTACAAACTAATGGAAGACGTTGATTATTTAAACGATAGAACTATTAATGTTATACAGGGAATAGAAATGAAAAAGTTAACCGGTGATTGGTGTGTGTTGATAATTACAGTGCAGTTGGCTTTAAAGCTGTGTACCAAAACATGCTGACACAATTTACACTGTTAAATTAAATTGCAAATTAATTTATACGGATTGATGATGCCTCACGATCCTTCCGAGTTGTAAATACAGCTAAGGATCACAGAAACCTGTATCTATTATTTCAACTAAAATCACAATGTAGTCAACTGGAAGCTTAATGTTGCACCAACAATCTAATTTACTAATTCTAATGGAAGACGATTATGTACTCTGCAATACGAGCACGCACTTAAACTACAAGTTGGAAGACATGATTTTGTTTTCACTGAGCTAATAGTATCGAAAATTTAAACTTTGATTGAAAAGATAAATATCAGGGGAGCATTGGAATTAACTTTAGAAAAGAAATTAGTAACAGAATTTACATACGAAACAATTGGTCTTGGTCGCCGAGTAGCAGATTTCCCGAACTTCGTTCGCCATGTTGTCATTAATCTCCAGCTCCTCAGAGATGAACTCGTATCTACTGGAGTTAAGGATGTTTTGGTTTTCAGTGTTGTCACTGTCTTCAACAGCTACCGGTTTGACCGGATCGACAGGATAGAAGAACTCAGAAAACGATACTAGCAGAGGTTCTTCAGGATATGCAGTCTTTTGCGATGGCAGGTCAGTGCGAGGCGATGAATTGGAGATCAGTTCTCCAAGTTTTGACCAGCACTTGTTAAGATTAACTCGCGTTGAGCTAGTCACCTTCCGTGGAAGCTTCGGCTTAGAGCTCTGTAACGAAAGAAATGAAAATTGTTAATTAACACATTTTTTTTATAGTTATATTGAAAAATATTTGGCCGCAATTAACAGTAATATGCGTCTATATTAAGGCTATAAACTGACATTAAAGATATTATGTAAACAACAATAAGTTTCTAATTACCTGACGTTTTAAGAGCTTCATCCAAGGCGAACGAGGCGACACAGCCTCCTGCGGCGAAGATGATCCATCTTCAGCGAGACACATGTTTAAAATTAACTTTAAAATAAACTTAGTGTAACGAATTACGACTACGTATTTACAAGGTAAAAGAGAGCGTCATACACACGCGCAGCGCAAGATAGGAATGATTGAATCAGGAAGGGCGGTGGGCTTTATATAGTGGGACCCCGTTTGGAGCGCGTGCTCCGGGAGCGGGGCGGCGCGCGCGCAGCACGCGAGCAATGGCGCGCGCCTACGGACTGGTTTTTACCAAGAACTTCTACGAACAGTCGCTTTGACGAGCCGCGATTTAGAATAGTTACTGGCTAGATTGCTTTGGTTGAAGACTTATTAACGATCACGAGACGCAACAACTTGACAGCGTTAACGAAATTAGTTATCATTTGCTAGCAAATGCTCATCGAGTAATATTAGTGCATGTAAATAGTTCTGTGAATGACTATTATGCAGCGATTTAATGATATGCAGTACACAAAAGGACGTGGCTGGCATAATTCTTTAAAAGTGACTTTCCGCTTGCCGTTGGCGTTGTATGGCAATTGCAAATTCTAAGCATAATGGCTATCGCAACATTATGAATCATAGCTAGCAGCTGGCGGTTGGATAGATAGGTTCCGCTGTAGATTTATCATAGTACGCCTGTGTCGCTTCCTGCGATTAAATCGTCTTTAAACCGCGGCCCAGCGCTCGCAAATCACGTACAGAGCTCTGATAAATCATTTCCTTCGACCATTGAAAGGATGCACGAACAATTATTTTCATTTAATATACTAGTAATCTACAATAATCACGCGTATGGAACGTTAATACGGTATTAACTACTCTAACTTATGTCTGCCATTTATAACACCATTTATTGGAGTATTTTCGAATGACAGATTATTTATCAGAAGCAAAAACTATTAAAAACAGCGCTATAAAGAAGCATTGCGAAAATTTTTAACGTAATATGTTTCTAAGGTGCTACGAACTCGTAGAGATTTCGTAGGCGTAAAAATGGTATGCGAGATTCAGTGCAATGCATTATTCGAAATTTACTTTTATTTTTTTTATTATAAAAATGGCAATCTTTAATTATTATAATGGTGTAACGAAAAAAAGTACGGGAGAATATACCGTTTCTTAAATGATCTACTCGTCAATGGATTGTTATTTATATACTGAAAATCTTGCATATAAAAGATAGTTAAGCAACAATCGGGAGCTATTACATATTTCGGGCATTTTTAATAAACGCCCCTTATGCCACTCACTGAACGAGATGGAATGAGCGAGCGAATGAAATGGGATGGGGTGACGGGTTTTCTTACGTCGCCGCCATACTAAAAGAATTCTACCAACCGCCAAAGTGTGATTGCTTCTTGAAATAATGATGATGGTGATGTTCTTTTAGTCGATTAATTACGGCAACAACCTTCGAATGCGATTATAGCAATTTGAGATGTGATACGATTCACCGATCAAAGTACGTGCGTAGAATACTGCTGTCACATATCGGCTGGTACTGCAAAATGCCAGCTAGCAGTGTTGTATACTTAGTGACGCTTGTTTGTAATCTTGATTTGGTTAAAACTAATGTTATCAGCCTCGAATATATGCGCAGAGTATCAAATCTCTCGGCATTCTATTCGGTTTAATGCGTAATACTCGTAAATTTTCTTTCAATATTTCTTGACGTGGTAGTGTCACGCTGCTGCCATAATCACGGCTGTAGCAATAATGGGTCGGCTCGACCGGGATAGAACCACACTCTCACAGAATACCAGCGAAAATAGCAGCTTAATATTTCTCTGTTTTGTATAGTGAGTGTAGAGTAGGTACTGGAGACTCTTTTTATTGGAAACGAGGGGGTGACAACGCATCTGCATTTCAGTTCTTATTCGAGGATAAATTTAGATGTCTATTTGCCACTGCATCCACTTACTTTTACTTTGTGTGCTCGTTTGTTACCCTCATTTTATAAAAAAATAACCGTCGGACAACCAGTCGGTCGGCGAGTCTTCGCACTTTTGTTGTCGATGTTCCACGCATTGGAACCAAACGGTTTGCTTAGTCTTACGTAATGTATAGAGCAAATGAGTGGAATAATTTGGCGGTGTTCCTCAAGGCAAGAGTGAATATACTTTTGTTACACTAATATAGTGCGATTGAATATCCAGAGCTTCAACACTACTTCCTATCTGGTGGATTTGTACAACTTTGGTAGTAAGGAGACACTCGCGCCATATACTAAAAAAACCTTAACAATATCTTTTTTATTTCCAAATTCTAATAGGAATTAAAATTTTGATGATAATCTATTGATATAAAAACATTAATCGTATTCTATAATATTTTAAAAATTGTTTAACTTATTTTATTCAAAGTTAAGTCATGTTTAATTAGTATTAATTTTATTCGTAAATGGTTTTGTAATATTTTTAGATACTAGGTAATAAACTAAATTCCAATAAGAATAATCAATGTTGCCTTATGATAAAATGACTACAAGCTGGTTTTTAAAAGAAATTTATATTTAAATATTTTATTTTCAAAACGTCAACAGCGCTTAACAAAGGGACGTATGTGGAACCACTTACTGAGGTTTTATAAGCGTCTTTAAATTAATTTTATGTTTTTTTACACATAATGTACTCTTATAAGTGATATTTATCGCTTTTTAAAATAATCTCCTGTATGGTGAAAGTAGCTCACATATATAAATAGTAAAATAAAATTCGTAGTTTTCCTCTTAAATAAATATCCTTTCATTATTGTAATTTGAACATGGGTTATATTGTATGATAAAAAATGAATAAAAATACTCAGTCATTTTCCTAAGAACTATAAAAATCGAACCCTAATATCGATGTGAGATTTAAGCACCGATAATATTTTATGTTCAACTATGTATTTTATTTTCCCCGATTATTTACGAGTACAACGAAATTCTGATGCAGCTGATTATACTGTGTTAAGAATGTCATAAGTATAGCCTCTTAAAATACGATTCTTAATATAAATTGGCTGCATCAAAGCTAATCCCTTACACTTAGATATCTAAAGAAATTTTAATGTCTCGCGTCGTTATAAATTATAAATCCTTCCCTTAAACCTCGTGAGAATTATTTGTAATTATTTATGTTTTCAAATTATGAAAAAAGTTTAAAAATTTAAAATCTTTTGTTCAGGTTTTGATTTACGGGCTTGATAACGTTCTAAATAGCGTAAAAATAATCAGCAATTACGTGCGTATCCCAAATTAAAATCCTTTTGTGTAACGCGTGTAATATTGAGTATGTCATTTTATCTAACACTAGTGATCAGCGCCAGCATCGCACAGGTGATTTCTGGATCTAAACAACAGCGCCATCTACCGGGTTTAATTGCGAATTTAAACCAATAATGGACCCATCTTCAAGTTTTAGCGTAACAAACGGACAGCAATCTATTTTTATGTATCTGTCGTCTCCCTCTCTTCGTTCAATCAGAAAATCAAATGATAGATTCTTAGGTCTCTAACTAGATCATATCTAGATAGAGAAGGAAGTAATAGAGAAGAGTAGAGAAATTACACTTGATATAAAATTAACAGCAAAATGTAGACAAATTGATGCATGAGTTAAATTATATCAAGCTTAATCCCGATGCGAGTTCTTTAATTTTAATACAGCCAAATTGAAATATAAGCGCTATCCTACAGATTCCACTTCATCTTTTCCAGTTAATTGATTTTTTTTACTCCATACGCGCCTTGCGCCACGCCGCTGTGACATTTAAAGTACCTAGTTATAACAGATTCGATTATAAACTTCGATCAACAAGTTGATCGAAGATCATAAAGTAAACCACGTTGTCATTTATTACGTTAATTATCTTATAATCTATTTTACTTGACTGCCTCGTTGGTCTAGTGGTTGTAGGAGTGCGACTGCTGATCATGAGATCCTGGGTTTGAATCACGGGTCGGGCCAAAAAGTTAATTATTGAGTTATCCGGTCGTGTCGGTTTACCGTCCCATCGGATTATGAGAGTGAGGGAATAGAGAGTGCACCTGTGCATGCGCATACACTTGGGCACTATAATCCTGTCCTGCGCCGATGGCTAGCCTCCGTTGAGGCAGACCGCCGTGGCCGGAATTCGGTCTGGAGGACATTAATCTATTTTACAATAAAGTAAAGTTAATTAATCTTCACAAGTTTATTCCTTTTAACATAAGATGGTTCCTTTTATAGCGCCAATATTTGTGAGAATGTTCTGTTCAAAGTACAAAGAAATGAATATTCTGAAGGACAAAACTAGAATAAAACTTGAATGATGCTTTACTCAATGTGGATCAGGACTTACCATTACCATTACAGCCTATCGAAGTCATTAGCCTCCCCCTTAGATTGCCTGACAGGGAGATATTTGCCATAGTTGCCACGCTTGGCAAGCGAGTTGGCGACCTTAGTTGTTTTTATTTATTTTAATCTTTATTAGGAAGACGCTGCTGCCCATGTCCTGATTAGTTTCCTTCTGCAGCCTCTTACGACACCCACGGGTTGATATGGGGTAGTGGATTTACATCGCCACTACACTTTATACCAGATCTGGATCAGGACTAAATCATGTATAAATATATTTTTCGCGCAAGTTTTCCAGAAACACTAATTAATCAGCAGGTGTTCTTCGAAGATGTTCAAGCACAACCTTCATCTCTAACAAAAATTTTGTGTTGCATTTTATTAACATCATTTAGCCGTAGTTCGGTTTAAAGAACTTTATTTCTCATTCATTGGGTGCGTTTGGCAGAAAAAAGCGCTAGCAAGCGCTTACAAGCGCTAAAAATAGCTATTTTCGGCCAGGACACGATGTTACTCTTCAGTAGCGCGGACACAATCCGCCATTTTGCTTATTTAATTAATGTTTGTTTTGAAGTATTTATAGTTCTTTCGTGCAATATTAGTTTTAAGTAATATAATGACATGAATAAACATATACATGTTATTAAAAATTAATATTGGACAAAACAAGTTTTAATATGAATTACTTTAACAAACATA